TACGTAAATGTATAAATTACTTGGCTACAAATGAAGTGGGTGGTAGCCTCTATTCTATCTCGTTTATTTCAAACTAATTAATTCATCTAAAAGAACAATTCAACTTTGTTTCTTTATTTCAAGGTTTTGGAATTTCTCTTTTTCTGATTTTGAAAATTTTGGGTCACATCAAACAGAGAAGATACCTGTTTTATGTGATCATAATTTTAGCATTGATTAGTATCTAGAACAGAAATCAACAAACTTAACCAAATAATGTAACCAATTAAATAAGAAGATCAAGGAGTTAATGTGGTTCGGAAATGTACTTTCGTCCATAGGACATCAATATCAAAATAACCAGAAGTGGCCCTGACATGGTGCAAGTGGTGCCACTACACAGGGCCCCCAAATATTTTTTTTAAAACATTATATTAATAGTATAAAAACTGTATATTAACTCCAATAGGTAGCACAATGAAACAAAAGTGTATTTGGTGAAGCTTGTTTCTAGCGCATATTCATTGGTACAAAGCCCAAGTTCGATTCTCAGTGATGTCATTCTAAAGATCCAACTAAACTAACAGTATTTATCACACCCAAACCCAAAAAAAAAAGTACTTTCTTCCACTCAAAACAAAACCAAAAAAAGGCTCAAGTTGAAGTTTAGGGTTTAAGTTTTGCACAAGACCCTTAAAATCTCAGGACTAGCCTTGAAAATAACGGGTACAAAATTGATAGATCTTTAATAAGCCAATGCCCCAGGGTTTGATGTCAAGAACCACACTACTCACTCACTCACTCACTCACACATTTATATCCCTCTCACTCTCACTTGGTGTGGAATACTTGATTATATTCTTGAGGTGGATCACCTCACTTTTCAAATGAAATCAAATGATGAGAATAATGCTCCTTATATATAGGCATGGCAATGGTTAATTTGGGTGGCTTAATTAATCGTCACTTATTATCACTTGACATTGAAATTTGTAAATAGAGAAGATACCTGTTTTATGTGATCATAATTTTAGCATTGATTAGTATCTAGAACAGAAATCAACAAACTTAACCAAATAATGTAACCAATTAAATAAGAAGATCAAGGAGTTAATGTGGTTCGGAAATGTACTTTCGTCCATAGGACATCAATATCAAAATAACCAGAAGTGGCCCTGACATGGTGCAAGTGGTGCCACTGAACAGGCCCCCAAATATTTTTTTTAAAACGTTATATTAATAGTATAAAAACTGTATATTAACTCCAATAGGTAGCACAATGAAACAAAAGTGTATTTGGTGAAGCTTGTTTCTAGCGCATATTCATTGGTACAAAGCCCAAGTTCGATTCTCAGTGATGTCATTCTAAAGATTCAACTAAACTAACAGTATTTATCACACCCAAACCCAAAAAAAAAAGTACTTTCTTCCACTCAAAACAAAACCAAAAAAAGGCTCAAGTTGAAGTTTAGGGTTTAAGTTTTGCACAAGACCCTTAAAATCTCAGGACTAGCCTTGAAAATAACGGGTACAAAATTGATAGATCTTTAATAAGCCAATGCCCCAGGGTTTGATGTCAAGAACCACACTACTCACTCACTCACTCACTCACACATTTATATCCCTCTCACTCTCACTTGGTGTGGAATACTTGATTATATTCTTGAGGTGGATCACCTCACTTTTCAAATGAAATCAAATGATGAGAATAATGCTCCTTATATATAGGCATGGCAATGGTTAATTTGGGTGGCTTAATTAATCGTCACTTATTATCACTTGACATTGAAATTTGTAAATACAATACAAATTAATAAATGTTGTATTCTGGTAGGTGGTTGCAATAAGAAGGCATAAATACCTTGATGATTTTATCCTTTTAATTCCAGTTTTGTTTTTATAATTTCACAGGTTGTTTGTGAACTATAATGATGTTACAACTTTCTATATACAGTTGTATAGTAATCTCTCCATCCCATTGCTCTATACCTTTTTATCTCTTCTTCCAAATTCCAATGTTTAAAATTGAAGGGTCTACTAGAATATTTTAAAAATTATATTTAAAGTGTACCGCCGCGCGGCTATACTCTTCGAATATATTCGAATATTTTAGGAGTATAGCCGGGCGGCTGTACGCCTTAAAATATTATATTTAAACAGTATCGCAGAGCGGCTATACTCATATCCGAATATTTTAATCGTATAGCCGTGCGGCTCTACGCTTAAAATATTACATTTAAAATGTATAACCGCGCGGCTGTACTCTTAAAATATTATATTTGAATATATTCGAATATTTTACAAGTATGGCCGCTAGGCTGTACGCTTAAAATATTTTCTTTAAAACGTATAGCTGCGCGGCTATAAGCTTCGAATATATTTGACTAGCCTGTGAGAATAATTGCTACAACTAGATACTCTACAATGCAATGCTTCTCAGATATCATAGCTCATCCTTTGGCGGCGGTTCGACTTCAAGGCACTCTTCATCCCAGTAGTTGGGGAACTTTAAAGGCATGAACCAGTCCTAATATATGAACCTGAAACGAAGGAAAGAACTTAGAAGCATCATTCAAACAAAATGAAAAAGTAAAATATAAAACGTAGAAGTGTAATAAAATTGAACCATCCTTAGCAATCCAAAAAAGAAGAAATAAATAATGAAAGAATGTGCATATTGTGGTATAGATAAATGAATGATTCAATAATATGAAAGTGCAGTTGAAGTTGGGTTTTAGAAAAAACTCTTAATCAAATTGAAAGGTCTACTAGAATATTTAAAAAATTCTATTTAAATGGTATCGCCGAGCGGCTATACTCGTCGAATATATTCGAATATTTTAACGTTATAGCCGCACGGCTGTACTCTGAAAATATTATATTTAAGTTTTCGAATATATTCGAATATTTTAAATGTATAGCCGACCGGCTATACTCTTTGAATATATTCGAATATTTTAAAAGTATATCTGCGCGGCTGGACTCTGAAAATACTACATTTAAGGAGATAGCCGCGCGGCTATACTCTCTGTATATATTCGAATATTTTAAAAGTATCTATACGCTTTAATATATATGATTTTAAAGTGCAGCCAGCTTTCTTCTGTTTCTATTCGAATTGGGAGTTTCTGAGGAAATTCGAAGTCTTTTGGAAATGGGTTTTCGTGATTTTGATGTTAATCGAAAACCCATTAATTGATGGGATTTTGACTTTGAAGTGATTGGATTGGTTCTAAGGGCCTCTCATGGGGAGATTTCTTGGCGGGTTTGTGTTGCCTCTGCTGCTGCTAACAGGTATTTAAATGAAAATCCCTTTTGTTAATTTGTTTTAATAACCACGTTATTGTAGTAACAGGATTATTTCAAGTGACTTGACCAGCTGGTCTAGTTAATTGCAACTCAAAAATTTAGCATGCATTTGAATTGGGGTGCTGATTTCCTTGTTGGGTTTTCTTCAGTTATGTTTTTATGGTAATTTAGATCAGCTAAGCTTGTATATTGTGTCTATTGCATATACAGTCTCATACTGTCTCCATCATCATCAACCATAATGTGTAGTCTGAATTATCATTTGATATGGTTATGGAGAAATTCTGGACGCAGAAAACTTACTTATAGATACTGACAACACATGCGTGCTTAGTAACTGAGGTAAATGTGATAGCATGATTCTGCATTAGTTTTTCTTTTGTTTTCGTTGCCAAAAATGCTAAGTGCATGCTATATGGATGATGCCAGTGCAACTTGCCATTGCAATGTTCCTTCTGCATAACAGCCTTGGTGCAGCAGTGATCGCATCTGTAGTAGGAATCATGTGTGTTCTTGTGTTTGTTGTGCTGGGCACGAGACGGAACAACAGGTTCCAATCTAATGTGATGAAGTGTCGGGATTCAAGAATGAAGGCAACAAATGAGATGCTTAACAACATGCGTGTGATCAAATTCCAGTCTTGGGAGGAGCACTTTAAAAAGAGAATTCAGGCTTTCCGAGAGTCGGAGTTTAGCTGGCTGACCAAGTTCATGTGCTCAATCTCTGCCAATGTTGTGGTTATGTGGTGCACCCCAGTACTTATATCAACTCTCACATTTGGCACTGCACTCTTATTGGGTGTCCAGCTTGATGCCGGGACATTGTTCACAACCACAAGCATTTTCAACATTTTGCTGGATCCCATCAGGACCTTCCCACAATCTATGATTTCAATTTCTCAAGCTATGATATCTCTTGGGAGGTTGGACTGTTATATGATGAGTAGGGAATTGGTGGAGGATGCGGCGGAGAGAGACAAGGGCTGTGATAGTAGAACTGCTGTGGAGGTTAAAAATGGCGTGTTTAGCTGCGATGATGAAAGCAGAAGAGGATTTGAATGTCAATAAAGGGGAGCTAACGGCTATTGTAGGGACAGTGGGATCTGGAAAGTCTTCCCTTCTAGCCTCAATTCTTGGTGAGATGCACAAGTTATCTGGAAAGGTATGATTTGATACCATTAAACCCTTTTCTAGATGTCTCTTATGACATAAAATCCCTCCACTGAACCATAAGTTTAAAACCAGGTCATAACTCACTCAAAAAGCTTCAGTTTAATCAAGTACTTGTTGAATTAATAAACTTTTTGAATAACAGGTACGAGTTTGTGGAACAACTGCCTATGTTGCTCAAACATCATGGATTCAAAATGGGACTACTGAAGAAAGTATATTATTTGGTTCGCCAATGGACAGAGATAGATACCAGGAAGTTATCAGGGTTTGCTGCTTGGAGAAGGACTTGGAAATGATGGAGTTTGGAGATCAAACTGAGATAGGAGAGTGTGGCATCAACTTAAGTGGTGGCCAGAAACAGAGGATACAACTTGCTAGGGCTGTATATCAAAATTGTGACATATATCTTCTTGATGATGTTTTCAGCGCTGTTGATGCTCGTACTGGATCAGAACAATTTAACATTGCATTAGATTTTCTACTACATTTGATAGTAAATAAATGATTTACTTTTGATTCCACAGTGATTGAACATTCAAGCTTGTTCTTAAGATAGTGGTTTGAACACTTTTTTACTTTCACAGTCTAAATGTGCTAGGATAGTATAAAAACAGTACAAAGTGACACTCATTGAATTTGATTTGTATGCATAATGTTCTACTGATCATGATTTATACTTCTCTACAGGAATGTGTGAGGGGAGTGCTTAAAAACAAGACGGTTTTACTTGTAACTCATCAAGTTGACTTCTAGCATAATGTTGATCATATTTTGGTAAGATTATAATTGCAATTTGCACATGTATCCCTCCTACTTATATATTTATTTAAACTTATTACCTCCAAATAATATCAGGTCATGAGAGATGGGATGATAGTACAGGCTGGAAAGTATAATGATTTGCTAAATTCTGGCCTGGATTTCAAAGAGCTAGTAGCTGCCCATGAAACCTCCATGGAACTTGTAGAAATAAGCACCACTATTCCCAGCAAAAGTTCCCCCAGTCCTCAAATATCTCCTCAACTCTCTTCGAACCACCAGGAAGCCAATGGTGGAAACAACTCTTTGGACCAACCAAAGTCTGATAACAGGACTTCTAAACTCATCAAAGAAGAGGAGAAAGAAACAGGCAAAGTGAGCTTGTACATTTACAAAGTTCGTGAGTTAGAATTGCTCACCTTTTCTTTTTCTGTTTAAGCATTAGTTTTTGTCATAGTTGATGAGAGATCCTATTCTCTGTTTAATCTAAGTTGTATACGTTGTCTTCTTTGCTAACTGATCAGACAAATATCGATCAATTTCTTCCCTTCATTTTGGGTATGACCATTGCCATGTACATCACTGTGCTTGCCATCTTTATCGTTGTATGCCAAAATTCCTGGCCAACAGTATTCTTGCTGATTCCACTTATTTGGCTTAATATCTGGTACCGGGTATGTCATTCTTTTTATCATGCTGTTGATATTTATCAGTGTAAGAACTATAATGTTGCAATGAATGTGTTCTTCTTGTTTACCAAATGTGTGTTAGACAGGAAAATAAAATATCTAGTTCTATGATCTTTGTCATGAATACTATTGGTCAATCCAACTCTTGTTAGACAGATAATATAAATGTTTTGAACTGAAGCACCCCTATGCAGATATATGAATGTGCTAGACTAGAAAAGTAAAATCTCTTGTTTTATGAATGTGGCCTTAATTATATGCTGAGATTTTTCTACTGTTTGGATTTTACAGTTACTATCTTGCATCATCTCGTGAATTAACTCGACTCAATTCAATCACAAAAGCTCCTGTTATCCATCACTTCTCAGAGAACATATCCGGAGTTATGACGATCCACTCTTGGAAAATTCAGAACATGTTCTCCAAGGAAAATGTTAAACGGGTTAACGCCAATTTACGTATGGATTTCCACAACAGTGGGTCCAATGAGTGCTTTGGTTTCCGTATGGAGATGCTTGGGAGTTTAGTTTTCTGCATTTCCACTGTATTCATGTTCTTGTTTTCAAGCAGTATAATAAAGCCAGGTACATCCTTCTTCTTCTTTTGGTTTGACACTTAACAAGATGTCATATCTAGCACTTGATTCATGGCCAATTATGATATGGGATGCCCAAGTATATAATACTTATCGTATCTGATATAAATTAGCATCTTATTTTGGCACATCTGATATAAATTAGCTGCAGTAGATGAGTGTCTATTTCAGAGATTTGGCTAAATCAGTTATTCCTTCATGGTGCAGAGAATGTTGGTTTAACTCTCTCCTACTGATTGCCCCTGAATGGTGTGCTGTTCTGAGCCATTTATATGAGCTGCTTTGTCGAAAATAAGATGGTATCGGTTGAGAGGATAAAACAATTTATAAACATCCCATCAGAAGCAGCATGGGAGATAAAAGACCGTCTTCCTCCTTCAAATTGGCCTTCCTGTGGCAATGTCGAGCTCAAAGACTTGCAGGTAGTTTACCTTCAGTTCTATTTATATCTTCTGAACAAATAAAGTCAAATCTTACATTCCATGAGCTGCTACACTCTAGCCATTTGTCGTCCCAAATGGTATATTTGTAGTACATCTTCCATGGCTAGTGTAGTGGACGGACAAATGAAGTGGTCTGCATGCAAGTTGTCATTACTTGGTCATCTCCGTTACTTTGTCTCAAGCTAAATAAGCCCTGTTCCTTTTGATATCGTCCAAATACACCTTTGGTTCTCAAAGGCATTAGTCCAAGCATTCACGGGGGTGAAAAGATTGGTGTTGTGGGTCGAACAGGGAGCATGAAATCAACTTTGATCCAAGTGTTCTTTAGGCTGGTGGAACCTTCAGGAGGCAAAATTATCATCAATGGGATTGATATAACCACAATAGGGCTTCACGATATCAGGTCTCGCTTCGGGGTCATTCCTCAAGAACCTGTCCTTTTTGAAGGAACTGTGAGAAGCAACATTGATCCAGTAGGAATTTATTCAGATGAAGAAATTTGGAAGGTAAAAAACACAATGCTATCTGGTTTCCGGATTACATAAGAGAGTAGCCCATAGCCTCAAAAAACAATAAGATTGAATTATACAATTTGTTTGTATATGTTTGTCATCATTCACTATCTTAGATGAAACAATGCTGTATGTTTTATTCACATTAAATCTTAATTTTCTTGTAGAGCCTTGAACGCTGCCAACTTAAAGATGTGGTAGCTGCAAAACCTTATAAACTCAATTCTTTAGGTATGTGACTCTCCCCATTATTTACTCTCTGAAACTGAAATGCTAGCTAGCATTAGGATTAGGTACTGACTGTTTCCATCAAATTAAGTGGCTGATGACGGCAACAACTGGAGCGTGGGGCAAAGACAGCTTCTGTTTGGGGCGAGTTATGTTGAAGCACAGCCGGCTCTTGTTCATGGACGAGGCCACAGCTTCAGTTGATTCAGAGACAGATGCTGTAATACAAAGGATCATCCGAGAGGATTTTGCTGCATGTACAATAATCAGCATTGACAATCCTCATCTCTCTCTCTCATGCGCAGTTGAAGTTGGGTTTTAGAAATCAATTGCTCATCTCTCTCATGCGCAAGAGAGAAAAAAACTCTTAATCAAATTGAAAGGTCAACTAGGAGATTTAAAACATTCTAGCCACGCGGCTATACTCTTAGAATATAGTCGAATATTTTAAACGTATAGCCGCGCGGCTGTTCTCTGAAAATACTATATTTAAAGACGGCTATACTCTGAAAATACTATATTTAAAGGGTATAGCCGCGCGGCTATACTCTGAAAATACTATGTTTAAGCCGTGACGAGATGCTTGCTGTTACACTCAAATTGGTTGATCTCTTCCTCCTCATTCCTTTTTTCAACTGTATAAATAAAAGAGATGCTTGCTGTTAGACTCAACTTGGTTAATATCCAATGCACTAAAAAGTTCATGTACCTGCAGCCATATACCGCTTCAATTAATAGATGCGGATGTCGTCCAGCTTGTAATTAGTACCGTAGGCAACTGTTGGTTCATTTTCCCGCAAACACTCTCTTTGTGGTTTGCTCTTGGATCGAGCTACTCTGTAGAGTGAGGAGGTCGTTGGATCAACACCAATGCCCCGATTGGATTTCTGGCTCGCGAAGATGATTCTTTCAACTTCTAAACAAAATTGAAAGTTGAATCAAGTTGACAAGAAGAAGCGAGCTCGGGCTGGGCCCTATCGGCTTGCTTCTTCTATCCTGATCGTGAGTTGCGTAGGTGTGCCACTATTGGGTATGATACCAGCCCAATAGACCTGGTATAGGTAGTGTAGGATGTTGATTTGTTGTATCTGCTCTTACTATGGACTTCTACTCAAGCCATCGTGCTCCAAGGGGGGTACTGGCCTGGATATGTTCGTTTCTATGCCTCAATTAAGAGGCCTTGAATATTCTTTCATTTGTGCGTGTCAGTTTTATAGATATGAGCAATACCTAATTGTTGGCGAGTCTTTACTTAGTTAAGATTTTGGTTCCTTATTTCATTAGAATTTTGGTTACTTACCAATTATTATTAGTCCTATTGTAATAGAGATTTACTTCCTATTGTAATTTAGATATATGTCCTATTTTATTTAGGGTTAACACATCTTTGTACTTATATAAATACCTCCATATTGGAGAAGAATAATATATGAGCGTATCTGAGTATAACTAAATATTTACCATACTTTGTTTGACATGGTATCAGAGCCAGGTTCCGATCCTGTGATAACCTCTGCCAAATTGAGAGTCGTTGGCACTCCTCATTCCTAACCCATCATGGGTCTTCATCTT